GACTTTTCATTACTTTTCCTTTTGAGATTTTTGAGAATCTAGGATCCTTGATGTTCTTTGTAAGCCTCGAGGCATTCTGTGTTGCTTTGGGATGGCACAGAGTTAAGAGTCTTATGTCAATGTGAACTCTATTATTTGTTGCAACAATTCAGAGGGGAAATTGTGTACGTCATTTTTTTTTCATACTTCTAAGTCTAGAACCTTGTTCTTGATAGTTTTCTCCCCAATAATGCAGAGTTTCTGCCCAGAACAGTAGAACTTTTCTAGCCTCAGTCTATGTGTTCTTGTATTTATCTTGTCTAGGTCATTGGAACAGCCAAGGGCTTCCTTAGAACACTGCATATGCTGACGGATGTCTTCAAACTGCCCATGTGAAGTGACATTATCTGTTAGCCAGAGTTCTTCATCTTTTCCATCTCATTTTTGTTCCGTGAGTGACTCTTGAACTCTGAGTGCTCCTTAACCCCTCTGCCACCACCAAGATGTCTTGAGATAATAGCTGCAGTACTGAAACCCAGACAAACCTTGTGAGATTGTGTGTGTGTGAGACTGCATTCACTCTCTTTGACTTATTTGTTACTCATCAGTGTGGCTCCTGATTAAATCTTATTGCCCGTGATTATGATATAGAGGTAACCAGTCAAAATCTGGAAGATGATATGGACTATGCTGTCTAGTCCACATTCTATTTTAGAACTTAGATCTTCTTTTATTTACATTTGTGCTTGTTCCATTCATTTCTGCCATGAGGCTTTATCTTCTACAGTAGTCCCGTATTACCTTCTTTGACATGCAAACTAAGTACTCTGTCATAAAACAATAGATAGATAATCATCAAGTCATGATCACAAAGTACATAGTCATGTTTCTCTGAAAATAAAGATTTATGATACATCCGTTTCCTTTTTGTTTTGTTATGAGGACATTAGGATTTCACTTATGTTGTCTTACAACAAAAAGCTTAAGGTTGAAATGTAAATTTATAAAGTTTTTACATTTCAGAAAGATTTGTTGTTTTTTAAAAATTAAAGAACCAAACTTACTTTTAGCCATTTTGATGTTTGAACATGTAATGTGTTTACTAGTTAGTCAGAGGGAGCAGATTTCCCCCTGGTGTATTTATCCCTGGAGAAAACTATTCCTGTGAAACTCTAAAAGCACATTTTTATTAAATACAAATGGCACCAGCTGAGGGAAGCAGCCAGGTGACAAAAAGGCATTTGATAAATGGGGGTGCGCTTAAAATGTTTTATCTGGTCTAAGGACCCAGATTCATTTTACTGTGTGGCTTTCAGCAATTAACGTGACAGATGGCCTCAGACAGCCTTGGAATTCTAATAGGCTGTGACTCTGGCTGTAGAGGCTTGGCAGTGGCTGTGGAAGGTTGAGGTGTCAACCTGTCTACCAGCTGCTTCCATTTTGCTTCCAGAGTTGAATCGAAATAGCCAAGGTTGTAAGAGTAATTCTCCAGTCTTGAGGAAATAGCATCTTGGGAGGAATCTTCAACAGCAAAACACACATTGGAGAGACAGAGATGTAGTTCTGTGTGCAGTTTAGAGGACTCTCTGGCCAATCTGTCTGTCCTCAAAGCCACTGACCTGTGTCTGTTTTTTGTTCTATAATATATAGAAGTATATTGTATGATAAATATAATGTATGGTATGTTCCTACTTTGATTGTTTTATTTAGTTTTGAGATCAGAGACTCTGTTTATAACTGCACAAGGTGCCTGCCACTCTATATTGGCATGGCTCTGGCTGGCCTGGGACTCGCTATGTAGATCAGGCTGGTCTCTCACTTGAGGTTACCTTTCTTTCTCTCTCTCCCACCCCACCCCAAGTGCTGTGTATATTATCACAACTTGGTCTTTCCCATTTATTTTAAACATGAAACTGGTAAAGGCTAATAAAACTTGAAGGAATAAATATATTTACCACTAAGAATTTTTTTCAAATTACAAAAATCAGTAATATTTATATATACAAATAATAACAAACTTTCTGATGAAGAAAGCAGAGGAAAGTTCCATTCACCACCACCTAAAAGTAACCCAGGAGAAGTGAATGATCTTTACAATGAAAACTTTGAAATAGTGAGGAAGGGACTTGAAGGAGACACTAGGAGATGAAAACACATTCCATACTTGGTTTGGTAGAATTAATATTGTAAAATGGGCACATTGCAGAGATCTAAAATTCACTATTATCCCCATCAAAACTGCCATTTCATTCTTCACAGAGCTAGAAAAGTCACTATTCAAATTCATATGGAAACAAATGTTTACATCCATAGGTTGGTGCTGCTGTCAGCTTCTGTGGCCAATGTAGAGGCTTATAACAGGTCCCAGAGATGAGACTAAGTGATTGTTGACTATTCAGCTGCAAGAAAGCATCTGCAATGCACAGGGAACACGGTAGAGGAGGAGGACATGAATAATTTAAGAGCTGGAAGAAGTGATGGAATGTTGGGGAATGATGTCCTCTAAGCATAACATGGTCACTGCATGCTTGAGTCACAGCAGCTGTGATTACCTGCAGAAGACTGGATCTACCTATAATGTTGCCATGGAAGTGGGGGAGCTCCAGAGACCACAGCTCTCTCTACAAATCTATAAGCAGTTAATGATTTCAGGGGGAGGGAGAAACAGTTTCTTCAGAGTTGTAGCCACTAGAAAGATGCCCATGACACTATAAATAATCCTACACTCCTGTTCCTGTAGGCAACCTTCAAAAGAGTCATTGGATAACTTCTAACACCATCTAACTACCATGGCAAACAAACAAAATTTCCAAAGATATGGAAGTAGAAGGGGGACTAATTGGGAAGAGAAAGAGGATCAGTGAGAGTGGAAGGGGAACATAAGAGGGTAATAGGAAGTGAGTTTGATAAAAATACATTGCATCTATCTATGAAAATGTCACAATGAAGCCTACTTTATCTAATTATATATAATATTTGCTAATATAAACAAAGAAGACTACTAAATAGCCAAAGCAATACTGAAGTACAGTGTTGGCAGTATCACAACTCCTGATGTCAAATTATACTAAAGAGCCATCATAACAAAATACTCAAGGTCCTGGTACAAAAACAGACATGTAGACCAACACATAGAAAATAGAACCCAGAAATAAGCCCAAACAACTGTAATCACCTAATTTTTTTTACAAAGTTGTCAAAAATCATATATTGGAAAAGAAATAAACTTTTCAATAAATGATGCTGAGAAAACTGAATATCCACACAGTGAAGGATGGAACTAGAGCCATGTCTCTCACACTTTACAAAAATCAGCTCCAACTGGACCAAATGCCTTAACAGCAGGCCTGAGATCTTGAAACTGCCAGTGGAAAATACAGGCAGTGTATTTCAAGATACAGATATAGGAAGGAATCCAACAACACACGACATAATTCTGAGAACTGACAAATACAATTACACAAAGTCAAGCACCTTCTGCAAAGCAAATGAAACAATCATCACCCTATGGAAGGAAAGATGTCTGTTACAACCATTCGTCAACTAGAAGATCAATGTCTAGAATGCATAGAGAACTATGAAAATTAAACATCAGTGCTCCTTACAAATCATCCAAGTTGAGAAATGGGCTAATAAACTGAACTGACAGTTCGCGAAAGAAGAAATAAAAGTGGGCAATAACTATTTGAAAATGTGTTCAATACTCTTAGCCATCAGGGAAAACAAATTATAGCTACTCTGAGAATGCATTTCATTTCTACAAAACAAACGAACAAAAAAAAATGCAGGTGAGGATGCAGGAAAAAGAGATCCCTTAGACATTGATGGTGGAAATGTAAACTGCTGCATCTACTATGGAAGTCAGTGTGGAGATCCTTCCAAAACCAAAAAGAGAACTACCATGTGACCTAGCTCTATCTTTTCTGGGTATTCACCAAAAGGACCCCAAGTCAACACGCAACAGAGATACTTATACAGCCATGTTTATATAGCTAAGCTGTGGGACCAGCCGAGACATCTATTTACATATGAGTAGACGAAGAAGGTGTGGCTAATATACACAGTGGGATTTTATTCATCCATGAAGAAAGAAAAATGAGACCATGGCATTTCCAGAAAAATAGAGGGTGGGGCAGTTCATACTATGCAAAATAAATCAGAAAAGCCAAACTCATCATGTTTTCTTGGATATGTGGGATCTAGATTTTGTGTGTTTGTGTGTGTGTGTGTTTATGTGTGCTTGCTCATGAACATGTGTATGTGTATGACATGAAAATATAAAGGGAACCACATGAAAAAAAAAAAGAAATCTTAAGGGAGAGAGAATGGAGAGTGGAATCCCTGTGATATGAAAGCAGGAAGGATGACAACTTGTGCAGGAAGAAGGGGAACGTAAAGAATGGAGTAAAGGGCATTAGGGAGGGGGTTGAATAAGAATAAAGTGTGAAGGCATAAAAGTGCCACAACAAAACCAATTACTTTGTATGCTAACTTAAAAACAAACTTTGAAGAGACGAGTGATTTTGACATCTGTGTGTGACTGTGGTTGTTTTGTATTGGTGGTCCTGCTCTTGGGTTGTTTGCATCATAACCCTAGGACATTTAGCAGTATCTGGGCACATTTTCGGTTGTTAAAGCTTGCAGATTGATATTAGCATTTTGTTGATGAAGACCACAGATCTTGGCATTAGAAAGTTCAGTGCCCAAGACCCCAAAATGAACAAAGACTGATACAGTCCCGAAAGTCATTGCAGCCATGACTGAGAATTAAGAATCTGTATATGTGCATATCTGAACTAAATGAAAGCAAATTTAAGAAGCAATGACATTTAATATTCTAGTTATATGATGCTGTCATGTTATTTTAACAACAATAAGAACAGCTACAAGAAAACTCAGAGAAAAATTTCCAGAGATGGAATTTCAGAAGAAAGGAACAAGGTTGAAAAATGCCAGAACATTACATAAAAGGTAAAGGAAAATTCCAGGTTATAAGAAAAAAGTGAAATCTATGGGAGAACCTGATTGAGTTGTTGGTCACATCTGGGTCCTTGGCAGAAATGATTTGGATGGTTGTCCCAATTGTCACATCCTCAGGCACCTCCACAAAATAAAATCCAGGCTCAAACACAGGGGGCTCATCCACATCCTCCACACTGATGTGCACTGTTGTTGTGTCCTGAAAGGGGCCAAGGTTCAGAAAACGCATCTCCAGGTGAGGATTGGCTCCTTCCACCTTCAGGGTGTAGCTTTTCTTGCTTTCAAAACTCAGGGGCTGAAAGGCAATGAGAAAAATGGTCAACCAATGGCATTCATGTCCTGAATCAAAAGGATGTCCAATAATGATGATTAGTTGAGAACCCCCAAACTCAATGGAAGAGTAGAAAAGACAATATAAAGGTAAAAACAGGGGGACATTTTGTTTTATTTTGAAATTCTTGGTGATAACATTAAATTCAGTCATAGGTGAAAAGGAAGGATGATGTCAGTTTTAACTTGTTTAACTTTACTCAGCATGGTCTGGAGTGAGAGTTTGGAAACCTCCTTTGTCCCACCCTAATTTTAAGAAGGAAAGTTTTGTTTCCTCAGAACACTTCTGTCCTGGGCAGACAAGAGGACGTTGGCCTTATGTTCAGGAACCTCCTCAATTAAGATCAAGTTTGTGTTCTGTCCTAGGACATCCATGAGATTAGACTTATTTTCTGTTTTCCTCTTAAATTTTTTTTTTTTTTTGAGGGGAACCATTTTAGAGGAGGAGTGGGAATAGTGAGAGTGGATGATATGGAAATGTACAAACATTTCATAGTGAAACTGATAATTCTGTATTTTGGCTAAAAAGTAATAGACTTGTTTTCTTCTCGACTTTCAAAGAAACAATGATTCTAAGGATATATGTTAAGTGCCTCCCAAGGATTCTTGGCATACTATGCCACAACAACCTTTGTTTCTGTAGTTTATATAGATGGTCTTTGTGAAATTCATTTTAAAATCTGTTCAAAACATAACTTCAAAGATTTAGAAACCTCAGACGACAGGACTGAGGTGGCATGGCTGAATATTGCCAGTGGAGATGCTGGCCTAAATGACCAGGGCTCATGCACAAGAAATCAGTTTTCTCTATTATGCTTCTATATCATGAAATATAAAATTGGGAAACTAGAGAGATGGTTCAATGGTTAAGAGTGATTTTTGCCTTTTCAGAGGGCCCATGCTTTGTTCACGGCACCTATGTAGTGAGGATAAGTTTTTATTACAACACTTCTTTGTATATTCTTTATTCAGATTCAAGGCCAAAAGCAAGGATCCATTTGGGTTTTTATTCCCTAGTATGCAGCAAGGCCAAATAGCCAAAACGTATTATTTTATTTAATAGTGCCGCAAGCTTCTATGTGTTAACATTTATGTGATGGTATAAAAGAATTTGGTGTTAACAGTTTTTTTTTGGGGGGGGGGAGGAGTGGGTTCTTTTGTGTTTTATACTTTGGGAGCACAGTTGTTTTCTAACTTATGCTGCATTGCAATTGCTGTGTACTTAGCAGGTGATCAGCTCCAGTAGTTAGCCCTGCAATTCGCATCTAGTAAAAGGCATTAGTGCTGTACTAGAGTTTAGTTTCGCAGTGTTGGTACTGAATGTACTGCTGTCTAAAATGACTTCGGAAAGATTGTAAAGGCAGAAAAAAAAAAAAAAAAGACTGTAAAGGCAGAAGGGTTCTGAAAGACCAGCAGGGAGTTGATCTGATACAGGCTAGGCAAATATGTCCAACTGTGTCTCTAAGAGCTCTTCAAATAATTACAAATAAAGCATTGGATCACGTAAAGTTGGAAAATTTTAAGTGGCATATAAAGTAATTATGAGAATTGTAATTCCCGGCTATCAGAATTAGAAAAGCATTGGATTTTGTGTGTGTGTGTGTTTTGTGCCCTGCCTAAGAGGGCAATGGGCTGTCTAGAACTCCTTATTGTCTCTGGCAGATGGAAGCTAAGTTGAAGACTAGAAACTGGCACAATATCATGCAACTACAGAACAAAGAACACTCTGGAAATTACATATTTCAAGCATTTAGGAGACTGAAAATCAATTGACTGATTACTTAAACACTAAAATTACACATGGTCCTGTGTAGCAATCACTGTGGTTGTTCTTTGGTTTGTTCTTTCAAATCAACTTATTTTCTCTTTTTGAAAAGTATGCGCTTTTTAGACAAATAATAGACCTAAGAGAAATAAATCAAAAGCAAAACTTTTGTTTCAATTTTATATGACACTATTAATGACAAGAAAAGATGATAGGTGTGGGTCAGACATCTGGGAGTTGTTCCAGACATATGGATTGAACAGTCAATGGCTTTTAAAATATTTATTATATGTGACTGGTCCATCTACCCAACTTATTGGCCTTACTCTTAATTATATTTCCTGGCAGCTCATATGTTCAGAAAAGGAATCTAACAAAAATTGATGTATTTTTTGATTGAACACAGATAGAGTTTGGATAATGATACTGAGAGACAAGTTTCTGGCTTGCAATGTCTAGTCTTTTTCAGATAAGGGACATGAGAAAAGACTTTTGTTTGCTCAAGTTGTGGTATTAGTAAATGTGTTTTTTAAAAAAGTGAATACCTGTAATTATACTTCACCTACATAATAATAATAATTTTATATAAGTCACTAATGGTTTATTATTTAGAATGTTTTAAAATAAAGTTCAATTTAAGTATTAAGTATTCTAAAAGCCCCATCTTATTATTGCTTAATTTATTGAATGGGTTACTATTGTATTCAAGAAACAATAATTATTCAAAACTTTGGACATTGTCTAGTGATTATTAGTGGTGTGTTACTGTTAAGTTGAAGCAAAACATATAGTAGGAAGATGCTTTTAATTCTTTTCCATGTAATAAATTGCTATTATTTTTTAGTCACCTTATTAAGTTGTCATAGATTATTGACTTTCAAAAATAATAAATTGTAGTGTTTTAACTATATAAATGTGGAGGATTCATAAGCCAGTCTTAGCATCTTGTGCTGTCTCAAGGTCCTTGTTTGCTGGACATGAAGATTTCTGGTTGGAGGAATTTGGCATATGTCTGTCCCTTTGTCATGTTGTATTTTTACTGTGATGCTCACTTGGCTGGCTTTGGATCATGGATGAGCTTTCTGCAGTTCAGTCCTTTGGTCACTTAGTGTTGATTTGTAAATAAAGATATAGTTTAGTGTTTGCCAGGGTTGCTGGGGTCCCATCAGCCATGCAAGTGGCTGTTTGGGTAATGTTCCAGGCAGGTGGATGGTGGTGTGAGGGTGAGGAGGCTTGCTACCAGAGCTCATCTATGGGGCATCTTGGATAAGGTCTCTGAGTAGACAGCAGCAGGGTAGGGCCAGCAGATCTTACCACAGATGACATGAGTGTGCGGCTGCTTGGGAAAAGTCTTTGGATAGGTGGTAGGACAGAGATACCAGTGGCTATGTGCATGGCTACTTGGGTCCTGGGGCAGGTGCTGGAATGGATTGAGGAGTCTTGCCATGGGTACCAGGTGTGAGCAGCTGCTTGGGTAAGGTTCCCAGACAGGTAGCAGGGTGAGGTTGAGGCAAATCAATGTTTTCTAAATTAATTTTTTAAATTATATATTCATTTGTAAGGTATTAGATTCAATTTATTTTTCTGTGCAGTATGTATGCATATGTGTATACATGTTTATGCTTGTGTGTACCCCAAAGTTGACAACATGTGTCTTTGATTGTTCACCTCTATCGTTATTGAGGTAGGGTCTCTCATTGAACCTGGATCCCCAGAACCCTGCTTCTTTTTTAAAATCCTGTGTTGGGATTATAGACAGGCTGCCACAACTTTCCACTTTTTAAGTGGCTTCTGAGGAGCTCTGGTCCTCATGCTTTATCTACTGACCTAGCTCCTCAAAACATAAGCTCAGTAATGTAAAAAAAGTTAATTGGGGTTAGGAGTTGGCTTAGCCAGTAAAGAGCTTGCCACACAAGCATGAAGACCTGAGTTGGATCTCAAGCACCCCTAAAAGCCAAGCACAGCAAAGATCAAAACATGCTGGGCACAGGGGTCTTTTCTGAGACTGATACTCCAACCAAGGACCATGCATGGAGATAACCTAGAACCCCTAGAACCCCTGCACAGATGTAGCCCATGGCAGCTCAGTCTCCAAGTAGGTTGCCTAATAATTGGAATAGGGACTGTCTCTGACACGAACTCAGTGGCTGGGTCTTTGATCACCTCTTCCTCGCCCTGATGGGGGAGCAGCCTTACCAGGCCACATAGGAAAACAATGCAGCCAGTCTTGATGAGACCTGATTAGCCAGAAGGAGGGAAGGAGAGGAGGAGCTCCCTTATCAGTGGACTTGGGAGGGGCATGGGAGGAGATGAGGGAGAGAGGGTGGGAGTGGGGGTGGGGAATGAAGGAGAGGCCTATATAGCCGGGATACAAAGTGAATAAACTATAATTCATAAAAATATAAATAAATTTTTAAAAAAGTGAAAAAAAAAAGCCAGGCACAAGTGCAAGTCTATAACTCCAGTGCCAAGGAGACAAAGATGGATGATTTCCAAAGATTTCTTGTCAAGCTCTCTCCTCTACATGCTTCTGCAAAAATGTGGATTTGTATAAACACATGTACACAAGTCCATTCATATGTTGCACACATAAAAATTTTCAATAGAAAAATTTTGCCTTTTATTTACTGAATTTACCCATATGTGCTTTATGGCACATAAGGAATGAACATTTATCTTTAGGGAACATGATACCTTATGATGGAACAAAGAAGTTTTTTGTTTGATGAAATTTTTTCAAGTTTCATTTATGAGTCTTCAAGAAGTAAGTTAAAAGTGCTGTGTGTTATATATTTATTCATAATAACGTTATAGTTTGCTTTGCTATTTATGTTAAAACTAATGTAAAGATGTGGGATTCAAATATTGATTAAGTCATTAACAACATTAGAGCATGCAGCTATAGCAGTTTTTAAGTGGCTAAATAGAAGTGGCTTATTTATAATATATTTTTAATAATCCTTTGTATATAATAATGCCTTAGCCAGCATTTTTGCATGTAAGCTCAAGCAGTAAGACGTGTTTTAAAGCTAAATAGGAAGAATTATTTTTAATTTCTCTCTCTATCTCTGTGGTGTGTGTGTGTGTCTGTGTGTGTGTGATAATGTGTCTGAATTCAGGTGCACCCATGCCATGTTGCAATCTGGAGGTCAGGAGGAAAGCTTTTGTTGTCTGATTCTCTCCCAGCATCGTTGGTTCTA